TTGCTTCCTCTCAGTCCATGAAAATGCTGAATAAATTCTAACATTTGATCATGGATAACTTAACCTTTGTAATTTGTTTATTATTTAGTATCTTTAGCTTTTAATCCATTCATGTTAAACTTAGTAATGTTTTCTTGATAATTTTTTTCATCAAAATGTAGGCATTGTAAGGCAGGGCAGACTGCTGTAGTCAAGGACAAAAGAGAGAAGCAGCAACAGGTGTGTCATCTATGTTTGTTTTCTGAATTTTCTAATTCCTTTTAAGTCTTGGTTGCTCTGATTGTCTTGTTGGAACAGGATAAGCGCCTAATTTTGACAATGGAGGCCCTCTCGAAGGCACTCCAAGAGGTAAGCATTGAAGTTTGTTTATCTCACCTCTGGTCTGATTCCAAAATCTTACCCTAGTTTCTGACAAGCAATTATAAATGTTGTATTGCATTCTAAAGTTATCTCAAGTGGTAGGATTCCTTTGGAATGTTTTTAATTTTACCATAAGCAGTCTGGCTTTCCATCCATGAGGGTTCGCCCATGCAGCCCAGGACAAAGCATTTATACTATGAACACGCAAACCAACTTCATCTGGTTCTGTTGGTATGCAAATCACTTTCTCCCTTTTGTCTTTCTGTTTTAACTCACTCATGGCATGGATGTTGAGACTTTTCCAGATTTTAAGAAATCTAAAATTTGTTCTATGTTATGCATTGTTTACTATAATTTCTTGCATTAATATCTCTTCTCTATATGTAAAAGTAATAAGCTTTGGTTTCCTTGAATGGGCAGGATGGTGTGAATGTAAAGCGTCAAGAATACTTTGCTGATAGTCCTTCAACTGGGATGGGTCCTGTCTCTAGAGAAGATCAATAAGTTGAGTTGAATTGCACTCTTGTTGTTGGTCAATACACTTGTTTCATTGTTTGGATGCAACATATGCTACTATTTCTAATTTACTAGAACAAATTGATCTGTTTTCCTGCAGCATATTGCATTTTGACTTTCCCGATCATTATTCAATGGGAAAACAGTTTCTCTTTTGTCCTCTCTCTCTCTCTCTCATATATGTATGGATATTGCTTAACAATATTCAAGCAGGCTAGAGAAAGGGTGCATTAATTGGGGAATTTATCAAAATATTGAGTAACCTCCATGCTTACGGAATTGAATTTTCCCTTGAATGCAGACTTTCCCTTCCTGCCAAGCAGCTAGTTAAATGATGTTCTTAACAGTATGAATTTGACCATTCTTCTACTGAATTTGACCATTCTTCTACTCTTTCTCCGTCAAATACTTACATTCGAATTAGGTTAGGAGACCTTGAATTGAAATCCCTCTTAGTTAAGTTCAGACCTATCCATTTTAGCATTGCTTTGGATTTCATCTACTCGTATCATTTAGTTTAGGTAAACGACTTATTGACTGAGAAAGTTTGTATTTGAAGGATTAGAAATGCGTGGTCTCTATATTCTGCTAAATAAAAGGAGTCAATAAAATCATTCTCACTTGTTTTGATGTGACATTATTTAGAATTGTAAGATTTTGTTACTGTCAGAGAACTTTTTTTAAATTTATTATACAGTATGACTTGCAAAATACCGTCAATCAATCAGAGTGGCTCAACCTATCCTTCTGGAGAAGGCGGAGACGGAAGAAAATTTCCTCAGCACAATACTCTATTTAGTATAGTAAGGGTATGATTTTGGTTTCTAGTTTTTTATTTTTTACATTTAGTAATTGTAATTAATATTTTATTTAAATTAAATTAAA